TAATCAACATCACAAACTTGGCAGTCTTTAAACACCAATTTCACATGACGAACAAAAGGAAATAAATGGTCTAACTGTGGTATTCAGACTTTGATCTATAAGCACAGATGCATTAATCAAAATTATTGTATTAATATTTTACTAAAAAGTTGGAATACACATTTGAGTGTGGTTTCCTCATACATTTTAATCTAATTTTATATCAGAGTTAGAGAAAAATAATGTAGAAACTCAGAAGTCCACTTATCAAAAGACAAGGTCAACAAAATAAATACCATAAAATTGATGTGTGAGCATCTTCATAGTCCTATTACAGGGTCAGAATTACCAGAAAAATGAACTTACGTGGCTCATCTTATTTTCATAAAAAAAATTGATAATTGTTTTATATGATGGAACGGTGCATTGACAATGGCATGAACTAAACAGGTGTGGCAGCATTTACCTAAAACTTGGGAAATGCTGATGTGTAGTGCATAGTGATGCTGAAATTCACATGCCTGCTGTTCAAATGTTTTACCATTTCCTTTGCAGTAGCCACACTAATTTTCATGCAATTCTTAAACTGAAATAAAATATAACATATACTCATACGCTAATATACTGTATACTTTAACTCCATGTTAAAGTAATTGTGACAAAAGTTTAAAAACTAAATGCTGAGGATATTTTGAAAAGGCAAACCTTTGGAAAGACCAACAGTTACACATTTTATTCTGGAGCATTTGATAATTAACATTTAAAAACCAATTATGTCTGAAAATTTCTAACTGTGTTGTGACATACCATTACTTATGATGTTTCTGTCATATACAAAATCACTTGAGTTTTCGATTAGCCTGGCGTTTCTTTGGAACCTCTTCATCACTATTCTCAGTTGCTGTGGTTACGTCATATTCTTCACACTCTTCCATACTGTCTGAAAAGCAGAAAGTAACTGTTTTCCAATGCCTTCGTCACTGCTTTGACATAAATTAATTTCATTATTTGACATAAATGAATTTCACTTACGAGAGGAATGTTTAATCTTTATGAGCTTAATTTTTCTCCATTTCTCTACATCAAGCTCAGCACACTTCTTGTGTAAAACGCAATATTGGTACACACTGGCCAGAACACATTTGTGTCCTTGATCCAGTTGAATGGAATAACACCCTCTTTTTCGCGAGTATTCTCCATCTAGACAGCCCACGCCCATTTCTTTCTCTCCATGCTATGGGGGGAAAATAAAATTACAAAGTTTTTATTGGAGAACCTATTGCTTTATTCATTTGTTCATTACATCACATAATCACATTTTAGCAAGAGATTGAGCTTGGGCAAAGCTCTCTTGACAATAATTAGTAATAAAACATCAAGACGTGAATGCATTTTCTACTTCTAATTTCTTGCCTACATATTAAAGAAAACTTGCAAAAATGACCAAAAAAATAATATGAGCAGTTACCCTTTCAATGGTGTTCATCGGCATGTAAAACAGGCAACAACACGTGTCCATTCCGGTTCTAGACCATTGATGTTTGGGCAGTATTAGTATGGGAGGTATTTTCTGCAATACCTCCCATAAAAATAAAATGAAAATGATAAAAAGAAAATACAATCTCCATTTAGTTTCCAATGTCTTTGCACAAAAATCTTGCAAAAATTAAAATAAAAATGAAATAGCACCATTTGCATTTTAAATTTCCACTCATGTATCAGCTGGAAGCTAGAAGCTTTAGCTAGAAACTTCCCTGGTCAGCGCGTTGGTGGAATAGCGAAAGTTACTGAATTGGATGGGTTGGTGACATTTTATGAACGCGAAATATGTGTTGCATACACCGATTCCTAATAAAAGTACACTATTATACAACTACAAAGATGCAATTCCATGCTGTAAACTGACTCCGGAGCTTCCCGCTATGTTGCGATGTTCTGATGCGTCATGGAGTGGGCGTGCTCAGATGGTTAAAGGCGTGTTCACTCCAAATTCCAGCTGACCAATAGACGTGAAGCTGCTAAGGCCCGCCCACCCGTTAAAACAGTGCCAAAAGTCAAAAGCAAAAAAAAAATCCAAAAGCAAAAAAAAAATCCAAAAGCAAAAAAAAAATCCAAAAGCAAAA